TGCCAATGGCATTGCCTGTGCCTGAAAACTCAGAATATCTTGATAGTTTAAATATATTTCTGGCACGACTGCATGATGTGGGATTGATAAACCACTGGTTAAAGCATGCCATAATAGAGTTGTTGCAGATGGATTTGATTCACTTTGAAGATCGCAATAAGCAGCCGGAATTCGTCCCACTGAAATTGCAAGACTTGCGAATGGTACTCATAGCAATGGGTGTTTTAGAAGCGTTAAGCGTAATTTGTTTTTTGTTCGAGGTATTTTGGGTAAAACTAAGCAAACTACGCAAGCTGATCAAAAAATTAATACGAAACTTAAAGACTATTAAAAAGTAATTAACGCACTTATAAAAGCAACGCTTGTACACTGGTAGCTAAGCGGTTGCTACTATTTAACGCTTATCTGTAAATTAACACGCTGACAAAAATTTTGTGGTTGCTCGATTGACGAATCCACTGATTCGATTTCTAAACCACCGTAAAGCACTATTGGTTCAATTTTTCGAGTTATCGATGTCTATTGAGTAATCAGAACGTATCGAGTTATTGAAATTTATCTATGTTTATAAAGTTATTCAGATTTATCGAGATAAAGAAACTCAGTTATGGAGCCATCAAAATTTGTAGACTTATCAGAGTTTATCAAGTTCAAAAAAATATCGATTTATCAGGTTTTTTCGGCTTATCGAAATTTGTTGGCTTATCGAATCGAAGTTTATGGAAGATTCAAAGTATGTACTCATGTTACCGAAATTTCTAAAGTAATATGAGTTCATCGGATTACTACTACTTTCAGATTTATCGAATTTTATCGAGTTATCAAAACTTACTATTGAATTCGAAACTAAAACCATAGTTCGAAAGGTATTTTTCAGAAGATGTCGGGAGTTTTTGTGGTTTCAAAATTGATTAGGATTTTGAGTTTATTTTATATCTAAACGAATGTAAATACGCGGATCAAGGCCGACACAAATACGTCACTAACACCAGTATGAACAAAAATACGAGCACAAATATGAAAACGGATAAGAAGACCAACTAAAGACGGAAGGAAGTACGAGGACGATTACGTTTTTTTTTTTTATTTTTTTTTTTTGTTACAGTTTTTGTCTAATTTAAGGAAAGTTTTTGTGTTCCAAAATTGATTGGAAAATGTCTCAGACTTGGGTATTTTGTCTGCTTATAGAAGAAACATGGTTTATAGCGCAATTGTCAACCATAAGGATATAATGCTAATAAATTATTTAAAAAAGAAACCAGGTCGCATTTCGACAGTAACTGGCATTTCTAATTTGCACTAATCGCTTTGATTGTCGCTTAAAATTGTGTGAATATTTGTAAGCAATAAAAGTAATAAAAGCAATGGAGAAACACCAATATTTAGTTTTCTTCTTTGAGGGGAAAGGCTTAATCTGTTAGAAAGCTATAGACAAGGAAAATAGAATAGAACCACAGTGGCTTGGTAGAGGACGGAAAAGATGAGGAACAACAAAAAGTAGATGCGTTAAAGGTGGAACGGGGAGTCGGCACAGATTTTTGCTGGAGTCGTGTTATTACTAAAAATCTTATTCTTGATCTGATCCGCCAAGAGGATCGGCGGTCGAGTTATTACTAAGACTCGTAATTATTTATGATCAATTTGGCTCATTTTCAAGATTAGAGAGCGGTCGGTTTCAATTAAAAAATTTATTTTGGGCGGGTCGAAGTTCGCCGGCGGGTATGCTAGTTCAACGCAAATTTGGTGAGTAAAAAATTTTTCTAGTGCTTACTTTAACAAAGGATATTTAAAAAGTACCTAGGAAGCGAACTGAATTATTATTAGGACAAGTAAACATTAAGTATGCGTGTCAAATTTGAGATAGTTGCAGCTGCGATAAGCTGCGAGAACAGCCTATATTATAGATATATATCCTAGAAAAGTTTCTGAATTTTTATTGTATTTATAGCAGAAGAAAAGTACTCTGGTTTGAACATAAAATAAATAATATGCAATATAAAATGGAAATGGAAGTGGGTGTAGATATTTATGGCTCACGAATCAAGAGACAGTGGATAAAAGTGGACGAGATCCGTTTGCTAGCTCAGCTTTTCCTGTATAAATACGCTGTAGGAAGAATTAAAGGTTTAAGTTCAAATACATATTCTGTCTTATCCGGAGTTTCGCTCCGGAAAAATGGAAACCAAAAGCGAAAAGTGAACCTATTCGGGAAAAATTAAACTCATGATTACGCTAATTTACTAAATATGCATAATTCGATATAATAATAAGGTATTGTAAATGTTTACGGTATGTCATTTTCGAAAATAATAAATGGAATCTGCGGTAGAAATAAAATAAATGACTTTTTTTAATTTTTTCCAAAATTCATAAAATTTTGTGAATCCAAAGAAGTTTTGAAGAAAGTTGGCGCAATAGTGAGAAACTCTTCAGTATCTTCCAAACAAGCAGCATACACCAATTTCATCGAAATATTATATTTTTGAAAAGATACTTCTTTAGCGACGGTTGGTTGGTTGGGAGTGACTTGGCAAATTCAACGGAAATTGCCCACGGAAAAGGTGCAACGGAAATGATGCAACGGAAGTGGTGCAACGGAAATGGTTGCGGCTGAAACAAGTGCTTCTTGAGTGTATGCACATGGTATTAATTTGATAAAAGCAAGCTAATAAAAGGTTGAATATTACTTAGAAAAATACCAATAAAAGAATGAAAGTAAAGGTGAGTAGGTACATAGATAAAGAAAAGGAAAAAGCACAGATAGAAATAAAAACAGAAACAAAGAAGCGTAAAGATAAAGGCAAAAATGGAGATCAAGGTAATTTTAAACACTTTACTTATATACGGGCAAAGGAGAAGGGCAGTATATAGATCAAGAAAATGATAAACATAAAAGCAAAGACAAAAATAAATACTTATAAAGAAAATGATGAGAATTAAGATACCGATAAAACTAAAGATGAAGATTGAAAACGAAAGATTAAAATAGGGGTAATTATAGAGAAAAGGATATGCATAGAGACATACTCAACCTGGGAACTGTTTCGGGATTTTAGAGATTTTAGAGAATTTCGGGTTTCTCGGGACTTATGGATATACTAACCGATATTTTTATCAGTTTTGTTATCGATATTTTTATCGATTTTTTTATTGATATTGCTATCGTTTTTGCTATCGATATTTTCGGAACTTATCGATATAATTATCGATATTTTTAACGATTTTGTTATCGATTATTTACCGATTTTGTTATTGATTTTCTATCGATTATTAATCGATTTTGTTATCGACTATTTATCGATTTTGTTGTCCATATTTTGCAAAATTGCATGTTATTCCGTAGAGCCAATTGAAGTTATTTGTTTTGGGCGATTCTGTCCGATGGAATCTCCCCCAGATTTTCTCCGGAAACTTTTTGTGCGGGATGTATTGCTGCGTAAGTGTTGGAGAAAGTGTTTGTTTTCTTTTTTAACTTAACAGATTTTAGGAGGTGCGAATTGCAGCGTTAATTTTCAGGTGATTTTTTCCGGGAAAATATTTTTGTGGGGGATTTGGTCCGAAACATTTTTGTGCGGCGGATTTTGTTCGGAGACTTTGTCCGGGTTATTGTAGGACTGGGAAGTAACTCCTGGAGCCTCTGCCGAAATCCACATTAAATCTTTTTAAAAATCTTTACTCATAAAATTTCCACGCCTATTTTTGGTGGTTTATCGGCTTAAAACGAAAATCTTCCTAAACAAATATTTTCACTGGACGGGTATTCTACCGGAATCTGTAATAAAAATATTTTGGGTCAGCTTTTCGCCACAAACACCAGTCTGTGCATCATGCGCAAATTGACAGCAGAACACCAGCAGTTGATGTGCTCTAAATTTCGCAGGCTGCTTGAAATTAGTGCAAGGCAACTGGAAATTCAAAAGCGGCAGCGTGAAATATGTAAACGAAAGAGAGCTTCAGATGAGGGCCGAGTAGTACCAAGTGCAAAGCACATCCGGGGAAATCGACTTGAATGTAAAACAGTTAGAGCTAGAAGCGCTACAAAGAAAATAACATATGCCTACTGTCATCATTTATAAAATATTTTATTTATTACTTTTTTATAAATAAAATTATTAATGTTTTTCGGTTTTTTGTATAAAAGTAAGATATGCTTTTTTGCCCTTTAATTTTTGTGATAAAAATATGATCTCTCTATATAAAATAAGTAAAATTTAAATAAAATTAATACATTTTTTTAAATATGGTGAACTCTTTTCGACATCCCGGGGCTTTCCAGATAGGTGGAACACCGAATATGTATACTCCGAATACCCGGAAATCTCCTTTAGCTTTCTTCTTGCGGAACACTGTGCCACAAAACTAGTAAACTAGTATCCCAATCGGATATCTACATCTTCACTGACAGCCAGGCGGCAATCAAATCCCTTACGAAGCATTCAACAATCTCTATGGTAGCCATTTTGGGGAATGTAAGGCCGCTGAACCCAGCGCTAGTTGACATCAAACTCCCTATTGATGAAATAGGAATACACTCACACATTTGCAAACTACTTATTTCCGAAAGGCTTACTAAAGTAGCGATCGATAGATGGCATGACGAAATCTCCTACAAAATATCCATGAAATTTTGGCCGTTGCTCAGCGCATATATGTTATTACCACCGATTACAACAGGACACTGCCTAATTGGCAAGCATGCTTATCGACTAGGTTTACGATTACATGACTTATGTAGTAGAAGTTTTCAGGATTAAGAAGAGAAGGAAATGATTCTACAGCTGTTTTGGCAGTGCCCTCTTCTTTCCAGATGAAGACTCCCTACACTGGGTAGACAATTCTTGGATAACTTAACTTAATTAAGCTAATTAAATTAAACTCAAACAACTTTGAGGAAATATTATTTTTATTAACGACAATAGATGTTATGCTAAAACATACACATATACATATATTTGTGCTCTTATTTTGTAAATCAAAAACTTCATATTCATAAAAACTCTTCAATATGGAATTTTCACCAAATTCCAAATTAATTTTAGAGCAGAAACAGTTGAACGTCCAAATTTTCTAATTTTCTCCCAGCAGAGTTCCAATACGAAAACGAATATACTCAACGACATCAATATACTCATTCCAATGAATATCATGCGCAAGTCCTCCAACTTCATTGGCTCGAAACCAGGCTTTTTATTGGAATCCTCCAATTTAATTACTTTCATCGCCGTCAACTCTACAAAGCTGTGACGTAGCCAAAAGTTTATAAGCCCAGCTTCCTGCAGTGTCAAAAATAATTTGTTCAAAGTTGCGCGATAAACCGAATTTACCGGCAAAGGCAACACCAATTGCGCATCCTTTTCAATGCAAATATCAGAAGTGCGAAATTTAGGCTTTAAGAAGTATTTCTGTTGCTCGTTGTATATGGACCACATATCAGAGACCACAAATGCATAGCGTGTGTCAAATGAGTTCCGCAACAATAACATCTCTGTGTAGTTGGTAAAAATTGTTAAGTTCTTAATATACATAGACATATTTGTATAGTGGCTTATCCAATATATATCGCTTGTGCCCACAGCTATCTTAATGCCACGATTTAGGACGTCCTCAATAGTTTTCATTTCCGGTTCTAAGGGTGCGTTTACAGTAAAACTTTGTAAGTATGCATTGTAGGCGGTACCAAATATGATACCCGCAAATGAAATGGTAATGCAAATATACTTCTGACTCCTTGAAAGTTGCCTTTTCAACCAAAATGTCATACCCAATAGTCCCTGTAGGACCGAGATATTTATAAAATATTCGATGAATAATGGCTGCCGCTGATCCTTCCAGCGGGACACGACAGCCCAAACGCACGAGATTAGTATCAAGCTGAAGCAGAGCATGTAAGTGACATAGGTATCCATTATTTGGCTAAAAAAAGCAAATGGCGGCAATGGTTTTTCAAGGGGTACCATCAAGCAAATGTCTGAACGGTGCAGAACTATTGTTGACCTCAATTTAATATCATCAACTTCGATACGGGAAAGTAAGCCAACATCTGCGCTGCCATTTTTAAGAGCGCCGCGTACTTCAAAATGATAAAGCGGTCTTTTCGGATTAGCAAATGGATACTCCAGCGTGACATTGAAAACGCGTGCATACTCAGCGAAGGCTCTGCCCATATAGCCACTCACTATTTGGGACCCACCGGCAGCTGTATAGTTATAGGTTTTTGGATACCAACGCCTTTCCATGAGGCGCATTGGGTGACCGTGCATATTCTTTATTCGACGGGCGAAAACCGCATTATTTAATGGTTCAAATCTCCTTCTCACAGTTTGGCGAACGGGAAATATTATTAACTTCCAATACTCGCGTTCTCTCACTGCCATTTGTGGCTGCAATGCAATAACGTTCGTACCACCCTGCCCTGCAGAAAATTCAAAAAGCTTATCCACATAGGCCTCACTGGCGGTGTCATCCAAAAGCAATATGATAGGTTTATTTCTGCTCCAGTGTAAACGCTCCAACAGTGTGCTTATCAAATGCTTGTCCCTCCTTATGTTTTGACTTAGTTGCACAATGCTGAGAAAGTTATGATTGAACAGGTCTCTATAGCGCTGAATGGGCGTGAGTACATCCACGTTGATGACGGCAAAGAGCTTCTGAGGCCGAAGTTCTTGTAAAATATACGGCACGTTTAAATGATCCTTACTTGGATTCTCGCTTCGGGTGTACAAAAAAGTGTGAATCTCCCTCTGCTCTGTCATGGCCAAACAGATGTCCTTCAAAATTTGGCCAAATTGTTGGTGCATTGGTGATACGCCTATCAGACTGAGTATCGCAGTTAGATTATAAAAGATTTGCATTTTCTTTTTTGGTCCGGCTGCGGCTTGTTTGAATTAAAGACTGAACTCTGTTGAAAACTTAACGGGTTACGTTACTCAGAAGGTAGGATTGATTAATTTTTTGGTAATAAATCTTCTTTTTTTTTCTTTGGGACTTACTTAACTTAATTAATTGTGAATTGGTTTTTTACATTTAAGTTAATAAGTGCTAATTGCTTTAGAAGGTATACATTAGCAAATTGACTCCGTTTGCTGTTCAATAAATCTTGAAATGTCAAACTGCTGGATCACTGTGGTGGAGAAATGGTAACGGAAACTCTGTTCGGGGTGCAGCTCGTAATATTATCGCTCTGTAAATTCAATTTCAATTAACAAATTAAAAGTTATTGATTTTGGGTATGGTGATCAGCCGAAAGTGCGCTTACTGTTATCGTTCCCTAGGCGCTACCTTCCTCTCGCATGTACTGCCGCAAGTACGACTACACTCTCCGCGTGGGAGTGGCTGAAAACTGGTTATAGCTACTGTCATGTATCTGAATATAGTACTGGCTAGCAGCGGTCGGTGTGACCAGGATGGCCATTTTCCAATTGTTTCCCCAAAATATGAAAAACTTACGGCTGGCGATCTGCCTGCCGCTATCTTTCATGGAGCCATTGGGCACTCTCGATGAGACTCTGAGACGTTTTCGTCGGAAGCCATGTGGCCTCTGACCTCGCCTGATTAATAATAGCTCCATATGTAGTTGCCGGCTCTTTCGTCGATCTACATTGATAGCTAGTTGACCCCGTCAGTCAACCGCTTTTAGCGGAGCTATTCTCTCAGCAGAGGCAACCTATTATCGACGTCTCGATTACTTAGGGCTGGCGTAAAGCTAGAGCTATGCAGAGATATGAATCCATAGAGCAGGGTGGCATGTCATCGTCTTCTCGGAAGCCGAAGCCGTGACATGGCTACGGTTTCACGAAGGAACACCGTAAGGCCGACTGTAGTCTGGAGGTGTCTCTCGTTGGCGAAATGCATTTACTTCAGACTCACGTCATCTGCGGCTAAGTATATTCCTCAAAGCATCCTACTCACAAACGAGAAAGTTCTGGCTAAATTCGTCGCCACAATTAAGACTAAACAGCGAACTGGAAGATTTCTCTTGCGCTGGTTAGGGTCATCATCTGCACGTGGTTACCATCATTAATCATAATTCAATAATTAATTTAACCGAACCGATCGCGTATAGGTTTTGATACATCAAATTGATGCAGCGGTCGAAATAGCTGCATACAAGGAAGGCGGAAATAACCGACCGTAGAGTAGAATCCAGCGGTGGTGGAAGCCATATCACTAGCTGGAAAAGGCCATTATAGCTGAATAAGCTGGTGAGGTGAAAACTTCTAAGCCCACTATACGATCGTAGACCATTCAGCTTCGTGCCACAGTTTCCAATCACTACTATGTAGCAGTCAAGCAACTGTCTGATGATATTTTCGTCCACACTTGGCCGCAGAGCATATAGATCCAAAAGTAGCGTTGTCAAAAGGTCTCTCACCAACTTTTATACGCCCTTCTAAGGAGGCTGTCCACCATAACCTTTGATAAAATGTACTTTTCAATCATATGCTCCATTCTCCTCATAAAAAAAGTAAGTGCGCCTGGGCCACACTGGAGAAGTGAAACTTACGTTACTTATCTATTTTGTCTCATAACCAATGTATACATACACACATCTGCTCTTGTTTAAGGTTATATTTTTTCTCTTTTATATCTAGATCCCTACCTCTACCCTTGTTCATTTTAATAACATTCATGTTATTCGGTTTTTCCATTATCTTCATTTTTATCTTTGTACTATATCGATAACAAAATCGATAACAACGTCCAAAAAAATATCGATAACAAAACCGATAGGAACATCGATAAAAATTTCAATAGCAACATCGATAGTACCATTGATAGCAAAATCGATTTAAAAATCGATAAAAAACGATAACAAAATCGGTAAATGTCGATAATAAAACCGATAAATATCAATAACAAAATCGCTAAATATAGATAACAAAATCAATACATATCCATAACAAAATCGATAAATATCGATAACAAAGTCGATAAATATCGATAACAAAATCGATAAATATCGATAACAAAATCGATAAATATCGATAACAAAATCGATAAAAAAAATATCTATATCGTCAACAAAGTCGATAAGAAGCAATAACAAAATCGATAAATATCGACAACAAAATCTACAAATATCGATAACAAAATCGATAAATATCGCTAATAAAGTCGACAAACATCGATAACAAAATCAATTAAAATCGATAACAAAATCGATAATTTTCGATAACAAAATCGATGAATACCAATATTAAAATCGGGAAATATCGATAAGAAAATCGACTAATATCGATAACAAAATCGATAAATATCGATTTAAAAAAACCCACAAAAATAACGATTATTTTATCGATAAGTCTCGAGAATCCCGAAAATCTCTAAAATCGCAAAATCCTCTTTAATTACCTTCATTTTAATCTTTCTTCCCCTATCTTCATTTTTACTTTTATCTTTTCTTCAGCTACATATTCCCCTTCACCTTTTCCCTTTTCATAAGTGAAGTGTTTAAATTTACTTTGGTCTTCACTTTTGCCTATATCTTTACGCATCTTTATTTTTGTTTTTATTTTTACCTTTGCCTTTATACTTTTCTTTATTTATGTACGTACTCACCTTTACTTTCATTCTTGTATTGGTCTTTTTCTGAGTGTTATTTTGTAACCTTTTATTAGCAAATTTTTTTAAATACCACATGCATACACACAAGAAGCACTTGTTTCAGCCCAACCATTTCCGTTGCACCATTTCCGCTGTATCATTTTCGTTGCACCATTTCCGTTGCACCATTTCCGTGTGCAATTTCCGTTTAATTTGCCAATTTACTCCCAACCAACCAACCGCCGCTAAAGAAGTTTCACTTCAAAAGCAAAGATATCAGATTTATTGGCATGAAGCTCCTGGCACTACACCTCGGTTTGGGAATGATTACAGTATATTTTGCTTAGCTGCACATCCTTCTTTGCACGAAAAACTTGTGCACTTAACCGAAAAAGGCACTTAAGCGAATTTTCTTTACTACTTCAATGAGGGAAGTATCCAAATCCCTATGAAACCAAATAATAGAGAAGCACTTACCACGTAGAAATTACTGCAAGCGAAATTTTTACCGAATAGTATCCAATTATCTATATAACTACATAAATTTATAGCCATTTTCGTTGTTCCGCGANTCCGTTGCACCATTTCCGTGTGCAATTTCCGTTTAATTTGCCAATTTACTCCCAACCAACCAACCGCCGCTAAAGAAGTTTCACTTCAAAAGCAAAGATATCAGATTTATTGGCATGAAGCTCCTGGCACTACACCTCGGTTTGGGAATGATTAC